TATGTCACGTATGTCACGTGCCCTATTTGCTCCTGGTTAGTTACGTCTATCCTGGGATTAGTATAATCTCTTTGTTCTTTTATCCCCCTGCCAGTTTTATTACGTTAAACACATCAGAGAAAAAAATCAATATCAATATCTATATATATAATTCTCTTCTGGGAGCCGGTAGAAAACAAGCTGCAAACGCGCTGCCTACCATCCACACCCCTATATGATCTGGTGAGCTGTGGTTCACTCTGTTTACAAACAAAGCCGGGTTTAGTGTCGACTATTAGGGGCAGATAATTTAGTTTGAAATGATTTTAAATGTAGGGGGGGATGGGGAAACTAAGTGGAGTTTACTTTAACGGAGAGGGGGGGGGGCTGGGGGGGGGGGGGGGGGTTATCGTCCTTAACGAGCTACTTATAATGTTTTAAAGAAATATTTTCAGTGGCAGCGTTGGTAGTGTCGAATGCACAAATTATGAATAACTGAAAAGTAGAAAAAAAACAACTAAATAGAGGCGTATAATATGCCGCGGGTCGGCTCGTTTTTTTTAATGTATAAATGTACCCACCATTTTAGTTAAAGATGAAATAACCGCTACAAATTTAGCCAAATTGTACGTATGAGCTATATAGTGTCGCATTTGTTTGCACCTTTGTAAAAAAAATAGAACATAAACCTTTTCTAGAGTCCTAATATTTAGCCAAGACTACATCACCTGTCTTATTTAATACGTGTAATTGTCAATTCTTCTTCTTCGTTCTTAATTTTTAGTGTTGGAAGGGATCGAGCCTTATCAGCCAGAGGGTTTGAACTCGAGAATTTTTTTCGAATGTATCAACTGGATATGCCCCGTGACTCCGATTTCAGCCTGCTTTTCTTTTTGGATTTGCTTCCATAGCCTTTGTCCAACCAAGAATAAACTACAAGGCAGCAGTTGTTTGATTTTAGAGTTGTCTCTCCTAGAAGAGTGGCTGTCCCCAGTCAACTGCAACCATGAGCTTTACCGACTCGATCACGCCGACCCCAGATTTTCAATTTTTTTTTTTTTTTTTTTGTTTACAACTTTCTCCAAACTGGTCTTTACTCACAACTTGAGATCAAACGTGCAACGTGTTTTGATTTTATTTATTGGCCCATGAATATATCCGTATTTCCTATGAAATGCCATTTCAGCGTTCGTGTTGCTTGGCGGTTCACTAAGACTCCATAAATTATTGTCGCCAGAATGCGTAGTAGTTATTAAATGACCCAACAACCACTTTAATTTAGAAAAAACCCATTAATGAACTACAATATTCTATAGCACATACGTTCTCCTACTGCGGTAGTTTTCAATCCGGTTTTTCAAATCCGATTTATCATTGAAAATGTAAACAGATTTTTTTTTCACTGACAGATTAATGAGTGCAAGCTCCCTTCAGCAACGTTTGACATTAAGAGATGATTTTTTTTACTCTTTCGTATCTACTTGGTCGTGTTACACAAATATACAAAACGAGCCGACCCGCTGCGTATCATACGCCGCTATTTAGTTGTTTTTTTTTCTACTTTTCAGTAATTTATAATTTGTGAATTTGACAGTACCAATGCTGCCATTGAAAATATTTGCTTAAAAACACTAACCCCCCCCCCCCCCCCATGTGAAAGCAGCCTCCTCTTAGTTACCTCCTCTAAGTTTAAAATCGTTTCAAACGAAATTATCTGCCCCTAATAGCCGTCACCAAACCCGTCTCTATGATTGTAAAATGTAAACAGAGTGAACACCGCTCACCAGATCATGTGGGGGTGGGGTGGGGGTGGTAGTGAAAGTGATAGAGAGGAAGTGAGGGGACTGCAAAGGCGCGCTTGCAGCTTGTTTTCTAACTGGTCCCAGAAGAGAATCTAATATATAAAGCTCAATTCTGTAACGCATATGTTTGTCGTTGGCATTTCTACGGATTTAAGTGTTAAATCAATTATCGTGCGCAGTTGTCTAAATTTATGAGTTAAAAAATTACTATTAAAAGTGTTGGGAAATCATTTTCATTTTTCAAATTATAGTAATAATTGTCGGCATGTTCATTAAACACAAGTTTTAAAAAAATATCATCTTTTACAAAAATTCTAATTATGTTTTTATTTAGTCCTATAGCGCTTACTTCCCTTTGATAAATTATGCAAAACATAATTACTTGCCTTTATAAAACCATAGCATTAGTTGAAAAGCATTTACTTTTTAATTACTTTGTTTTGGTGTTGGGAAAAAAATAATTACATAATTAGCGGGGATTGATCAAGTGCAAATGTTTTAGGTATTTTACGGATAAGCTTGGAGTATTATAATTGTTCATTAAATTGAAACAGGCGCGTTCGTTTAAGTGAGTGCAAAAACTATGAATAAGTTGGGGTACTATAGTCGTTTATTAAGCTAAAACAGGCGATTCTGCCCCGGGCGTTTATGTTCGCGTTAGTGTTTTCTTTGTGTTTAGGTGGGTTTGCGTTAGTGGTTGCGTTTTGATTTGGTTCGTTTTTGTTCTTTCTTTTTTCGTTTTTGTTTGTGTTTTTTTTTGTTTGGGTTTGTATTTGTGTTTTTGGTTGGTTTTGCGTTTGGATTTGGTTTGTTTTCGTTTGCTTTTTCGTTGTTTTTTTTGGTATTGGTGTTTGTGGTTGGGTTTGTTGTTAGGTTTTTGTTTTCGTTTGTTTTTTCTTTGTGTTTGTATTGGTGTTTGTGGTTGTGGTTGGGTTTGTTGTTAGGTTTTTGTTTTCGTTTGTATTTCTAATTGTGTTAGCGTTATGTTTGCGTTTTGTTGTTTTGGTTGGTTGTGGTTTGGGTGGGCAATGCCGGGTTTATGATGATTTCTAAACACACAGGTAATGGTCTTTAACGGAAAGGTTTTTCACAGAAGCCAGAGCAGGGCCTGGCCGGGACGGCTAGTCTAATATATAAAGCTCAATTCTGTAACGCATATGTTTGTCGTTGGCATTTCTACGGATTTAAGTGTTAGATCAATTATCGTGCGCAGTTGTCTAAATTTATGAGTTAAAAAATTACTATTAAAAGTGTTGGGAAATCATTTTCATTTTTCAAATTATAGTAATAATTGTCGGCATGTTCATTAAACACAAGTTTTAAAAAAATATCATCTTTTACAAAAATTCTAATTATGTTTTTATTTAGTCCTATAGCGCTTACTTCCCTTTGATAAATTATGCAAAACACAATTACTTCCCTTTATAAAACCATAGCATTAGTTGAAAAGCATTTACTTTTTAATTACTTTGTTTTGGTGTTGGGAAAAAAATAATTACATAATTAGCGGGGATTGATCAAGTGCAAATGTTTTAGGTATTTTACGGATAAGCTTGGAGTATTATAATTGTTCATTAAATTGAAACAGGCGCGTTCGTTTAAGTGAGTGCAAAAACTATGAATAAGTTGGGGTACTATAGTCGTTTATTAAGCTAAAACAGGCGATTCTGCCCCGGGCGTTTATGTTCGCGTTAGTGTTTTCTTTGTGTTTAGGTGGGTTTGCGTTAGTGGTTGCGTTTTGATTTGGTTCGTTTTTGTTCTTTCTTTTTTCGTTTTTGTTTGTGTTTTTTTTTGTTTGGGTTTGTATTTGTGTTTTTGGTTGGTTTTGCGTTTGGATTTGGTTTGTTTTCGTTTGCTTTTTCGTTGTTTTTTTTTTGGTATTGGTGTTTGTGGTTGGGTTTGTTGTTAGGTTTTTGTTTTCGTTTGTTTTTTCTTTGTGTTTGTATTGGTGTTTGTGGTTGTGGTTGGGTTTGTTGTTAGGTTTTTGTTTTCGTTTGTATTTCTAATTGTGTTAGCGTTATGTTTGCGTTTTGTTGTTTTGGTTGGTTGTGGTTTGGGTGGGCAATGCCGGGTTTATGATGATTTCTAAACACACAGGTAATGGTCTTTAACGGAAAGGTTTTTCACAGAAGCCAGAGCAGGGCCTGGCCGGGACGGCTAGTTATATATATAGATTACCATCTCGAAACTGGCTGTCCTGGTAGTGTTGTTATTAAATGGGAATGTGCTGACTAACACGCACTATTAGACAAAATGTAATACGCTTAATCAGCGTTTAGTTATTTCCCTTTATCTTCAAAGTTTCTCCATTTCATTCTTTTGTTAGTTCACAAAAACTAATACAACAAACAGGGCACTTGTGACTTGTGCTGGAATTATAATTTCATGTACTGGTAGTAGCAGTTCCCTTTTCGAACCTGACAGTCCATGGGGCAAGTGTAGTAGAGTTCATCTATTTCTGTGACCTCGGCATTAGAAGGGATAGTGTGATCAGCACTATGCCCAGCCGCCTTTAACTTCCCTAACGTAAGTCATAGCTCAGGGGGGGGGGGGGGTTCTACTGACTTGAATCCGAACTGGAGACTACCGGGTTAGCAGTCTAGCTTTCTACCGCTAGGCCATGCAGTGCCATAATTCAATATAGGCTACTGGTATATTGAAATATATGTTACATATAGTGTAAGAAAATGTAAACAAGCCAGTACAGTACGCATAGTTATCACTTGTCTGTAATTCCTAAACAAGTTAAATATGTGAGACTTTTATTAAAATTTTAATGAAATGTACTTGTATGATTAACAGTATGTGTTCTACGTCACGTGTAATCTATTTGATGAAAATCAACTTTATTCTATACAGGCTTAAAAACAAGTTAATAGTCGTATTATAAGATAGTGTAAGATTTGAGATCGATTGATATTTCAATAGATTTTGTTCGATTCGGGCTATTATTATTTTTTCTACTTTTCCCCACCTTTTGACTAAATTATGTTATAGTGTATTCTATTTCTAGTTCCGCCATTGCAAAGTGTTAGCAAAACGTATGTCTTACATTACTACAATACACATAGGTAAAACAAATAAAAATTATGAGTGACATTTCTTCGTGCAACTACACAAATGAAGCTGCCCTAAGAATTAGCACACGATATGTACAAACACATATGGAAGTACCATACGAACAGCTATCTTACTTAAATAAAATCACAAATTGGTTATTTCTTAAAGCAATATTTATTAAAATTCATTTACTGCACTAGTTAACTTATATTAAAACTGTTGTTTTAAAAAACAAAACTGCTTGGAGTAACATTTAATTACTCAATGATCGATCACAAATCACCAGCAAAATGTATTGCAAATGCTGATTAGCGAACTGTTTAGAGACATAGTTTAATTTTCCTTCTAAATATCCAAGCACCAATCACCGCTAGAGGCTCACATAGACCATCCAAAACACGGTTAGATATCAGGCTTACAATGATCTTTTTAGATTCTTGTATCATGGAGATAGATGAACTGCGAGGGTAGAAGGTCTCGGTCGTGTCCTTCGGGTTTCTCAAGGCTTTTATTTTGCGCTTGTTCTCTCCCATCTGAAATACACACCCACCAACATCAATTCACAAACAAATCAAGTCCTTAACAGCTAAATTCCACCAATTCTAAAATTTTGATAATGTTTAATTTACAACAGTAAAGATCTGTTGCTTAAAAGCGAACACAGAAATGTAAATGTATGAAATACTTGATGTTTACAGGATAACGGCATTTTGTTTTGATAACCTACAAGCATACTGCATGTAATGTAGGAAGGTACAGCGTTGACCAGTGGCGTAGCTACCGTAAAGCTAGCGTAAGCAAGGCATAGGGGCCCAAGGCAAATAGGGGCCCTTTTTTTCGAAAGTTTGAGGGGGGTGCAAATCGAAAGTCTGAGGGGGGGGGGGTGCGAAAGTTTGTCCCCGGTCGCCGGGAAGGATCGCTACGCCTCTGAGGGGCCCACTAACACTTTTTGCATAGTGGCCTAAAAATCCTAGCTACGCCACTGGCGTGGATCCCTCTGCCCCACACTTATGGAAGTCATAAATAGATGACCCTTAAAATAAAACATACTATTTCTTATAAAATATATTTTATAATAAAAATAAGGCCTGCTGAACAAGAGATGCATACGTTGCATTACTTAAGATTGTTGGATAAGCTAACTTCAAAGAGAATTGATGAAGGGATCCCACTGGCAGGCGTCATATTCAATCAGACTGTTTTGCAAGGAAAATTGGTCTCTACGGAAACCGTATTGTCAGTGGTCGTGAAACAAATTGACAGGAGCCTATTTTTTGTGAGCAAAAATGACGGGAACTTATTTGTCGGGAGTCGTAATGATTTTTGACGGGGTCGATTTGACGGGGTCGTTTTGACGGGGCCGTTTTTTCATTGGCCGTGTAGAACTCACCAATTTCGAAAGTAAACATCGTGAGTAGAACTCACCAGTTTCTAGTGTAAACATCGTGAGTAGAACTCACCAGATTCTAATGCAAACATCGTGAGTAGAACTCACCAATTTGGAAAGTAAACATCGTGAGTAGAACTCACCAGTTTCTAGTGTAAACATCGTGAGTAGAACTCACCAGATTCTAATGCAAACATCGTGAGTAGAACTCACCAATTTCGAAAGTAAACATCGTGAGTAGAACTCACCAGTTTCTAGTGTAAACATCGTGAGTAGAACTCACCAATTTCTAATGTAAACATCGTGAGTAGAACTCACCAGTTTCTAATGTAAACATCGTGAGTAGAACTCACCAGTTTCTAGTGTAAACATCGTGAGTAGAACTCACCAGTTTCTAGTGTAAACATCGTGAGTAGAACTCACCAGTTTCTAATGCAAACATCGTGAGTAGAACTCACCAGTTTCTAATGTAAACATTGTGAGTAGAACTCACCAGTTTCTAATGTAAACATCGTGAGTAGAACTCACCAGTTTCTAATGTAAACATCGTGAGTAGAACTCACCAGTTTTGGGATAGCCGAGCAGCATGATGTCTCCAAGTTCCATGACCTTGCCCTTGCTCTCACTTTTCTTCACTACAGATAGCTTCAGTTTGCCGTCCTGTAAAAGCTGCTTGAGTTTCTGTATGACGTCATCGGCAGACATTCTCATGTTGCTGCTGATGTAGAGCTGGCCAGTGTTGTCTAGTTCAATCTGTTCCAACAAAAACAGATATCGGAACTTTCAACAACTGTTTCAGATCCACTCGCTTTACGTAAATTACACAACATTACAGGTATCTTCAATCAAATAAGTTACTCAAAGTGTAAGAATACATTTTTATTGCTAACAAAATTGTGCCATAAATATAGAATTGACACCAACTTAAATTGATAAGAGATCAAAACCCTTTGTAATAAAAATAAATGTATACATTTTAATGTGTTAGTAGTTCAACTGTATTGAAAATATATTTTTTCGACTATAGGCCTACAACACATCTAACAATGAATTTACCAGTATTTTTTTTATATTAATTCTCTGCAATATAACACATCCAACAACGAACTTACCAGTATGTTTTTTTATATTAATTCTCTGCAATAAAACACATCCAACATCGACCTAACCAGTATGTTTTTGATATTAATTCTCTGCAATACTACACATCCAACAACGAAATTACCAGTATGTTTTTGATATTAATTCTCTGCAATACTACACATCCAACAACGAAATTACCAGTATGTTTATGATATTAATTCCCTGCAATACTACACATCCAACAACGAACTTATTAATATGTTTATGATATTAATTCCCTGCAATACTACACATCCAACAAGAACTTATTAATATGTTTATGATATTAATTCCCTGCAATACTACACATCCAACAAGAACTTATTAATATGTTTATGATATTAATTCTCTGCAATACTACACATCCAACAACGAACTTACCAGTATGTCTTTGATACTGACGAACTGGTCAGCCGAGTTACTGAGAATGACATCCAAATCCTAAAACAAGGGGAGATAATGGTAGTAGCGTTAGTTACTAGAGTAGATGCAAATATTTGGGTGAAATATTTTTCAACATATTATTTAAAAATGTGAGGCCTACCATTAGAAACAGTGAATACACATAACAAACAAATAATATATATATATATTATATATATATATGTGTGTGTCACAAGTGTTTACCAATACGTCATGGGTTTTAAGTTCGACACGAATTTTATAGGTTTGATATACAACAATCTTTTAGCATATTAGCATTAGGTTAAGTAGGTTTATTTATCTTTGAAAAGATTTTATATCTTGTAAATATTCAGTATAAGGTTTAGTAGGTTTTGATTATCTTTGAATAAAATTTAGCATGTTAGTAGATCTATTAAAAGTTCCGTATAAAGTTTACCGTTGATAAGGATTATTTATTAAGGGGACGGAGTATTCTAGTGGTAGAGAGCTGGACTGCTAACCCGCAAGTCTCGAGTCGAATCCGGGCTCAGTAGACCGTCCCTGAGTCCACCCAACTCTTATGGGTACCTATCTCTTCATATGCCGAGGTCACAGAAACAAATGAACTCTACTTCACTTGCCCCATAGACGTCAGGTTTGAAAGGGAACTTTAAGGCTTATTTATAGTTTCTGATAATTGCTATCCAGACTTACGGCATTGTTCATAGCGGCTTCGATCTCTGCCATCATTCTTGCTTTGCAGATCTCTATACACTGTTTATACTGTTCATACTGTTCATACTCTTCAAGCTGTCCACGCTGTCCACGCAACAATGACAGGCGTAAAATGATGAGTACACACCATATGCTGGTAAATAGAGAAATATAATTGAATAGACAACTCTCTAGTAAATATACAATGATAGTATTTGTAGACTGCTAGCAAAAGATCATGATAATTATTAGAAACAGGTCTTTTTCCTTGTTTATTCCAATGTTGGAAGAGATTTCCTCCAACCCAATTAGGAATTACTTGTCAATCGCTGGCTCCGATTTCAGCCTGCTTTTCTTTTTGGATATCCTTTCAAAGCCAATGTCCATCCCAGAACAAACTAGATGGCAGCAGTTGTTTTTTGTGAGATTAGTGGTGTCCCACTCATCTACCCGGGGTTTCGAACTCGGGACTTTTCGTTTCAGCAACCATGAGCTTAACTGACGCGACCACGCCAACCTCCCATGACATAGTCAAAATGATATTTATAAATAGTTTCCATAGAAAGATGATATTTATAGATGGCACGGAATATTATTATTCTTAGACGGCTGATATTCTTAAGACGGAAAGTAATTAAAGAAGTTGCTTTGTATTTCACTACATAAACAATGAATGTATATAGATAACGTGTCTATGGTTTAATGAAACTAAAACATTATTTATTTTGATATTACCCTTATATATTTATCTTACCTACCCCCACCCTTAAACACGCACAACGTGTGGAGATGATGACAAGAGCATGTAAACACAAAACTGAAGAACTCACCCAATCAGGATAGGCAAGACGATGCCAAGGTCGCGCAATAAGAAAGACTTGAGTTTTTTGATCCTGCCAGACAGCCCCATAATTCTGGGAGTACTTTTAGCTAGAGAGAAAATAAAAATGTCATATGATGTTAAAGTCCTAAAAGCAGAGGCGTAGTGACCCTTCCCGGCGCCCGGGACAAACTTTCGATTTGCACTTCCCCTCCCCCCCCCCACAAGCTTTCAATTTGCATCCCGCCTCAAACTTTTGATTTGCACCCCCCCTCAAACTTTTAATTTATTTTTCCAACCCCCCCCCCCACCCCCCCGCTACGCTCTGCCTAGAACATAGTTTTTGTACTTTTATTTATTTAAAGCTTTTTGTTAGGAGTCTAGGACAATACCCCCTGTCAAAATACCGCCCCGAGCATCCCCACCCGGAGTCATTACCCCCCCCCCCCCTCTCCATCCTGAAGAACCCTGACTCTAACCCTAACCTTAACAACAAACCTAGCTAACTATAACTCCAAACATAAATTCTAGAACCATCTCTAAATCTACATCTAAACCCGAACCCTAGCACTAGCCGTAACCCGATCCCTAACTGGGCGGGGTTTAATTGACAGGGAGTACGGGTATTTGTACAGTGGGGGGGGGGGGTGGTGTAATGTCAGGGGAGAAATTCCGGGGGGGGGGTTAATGTCGGGTGAGAAATTCCGGGGGGGAGGGGGTAATTGACGGGGTGATGATGTAATGTCCCTGCTCACATGGTTTATAAGAGCACACAATATTTTAGAAAACTTTTAAACATCTAACACATATATTAAGTACAACAAAGAAAAACTAAAGATTCCATCTTCGACCTAACGGTTCATCGGGCAGATGAATACAGTCAGCGTGTTTCTTAACAACGTCTATGAAAGAATAGTCCGGTAAAAGCCACGTTTATTTTTCATGACGTGAGTTGGGTACCTTTTGGAGCTGGGTGGACTCAAGGGACGTCGTACGGACGCGAGATCCGAACTCAAGACTTTCGGGTTAGTAGTCGTAGCCTCTGGCGCCCGGTAACGCTGTGTTACGAGTAGATCCAGCAAAGGGGGTCGTCCATAAATGACTTCACACTCGTAAGGGGGGAAGGGGGGTCCGTAATTTTGTGCCGGTGTGTGATAAGGGGGAGAGGGGGGGGGGGCTCAGATGTTGTGACGTCACACTTTTTTCATTATGAAAAAGAAATGTTAGAAAACGAGTTTTAGCCGTTATTTCGCGTTTTACAAAACGGTTTTAAATAAGAACAATTCAATAGCCTTTTTGATGAGGTTTGTAGACTGAGGTGTGACGTAAGTTTAGGGGGTGGCTTTTTGTGACCATGTGTGACGGAGGGGAGGGGGGGAGGTAAAAATCGTCCAAACAGCGTGACGTCATTTATGGACCCCAAACCACTGTACCTGTTTCAGTGACATATGAAGGGATAGCTGGGTCAACCGACTGTTTAGCCGCCTTTACTTTCCTTGGCAGGAGTCAGGCGCTCTTCAGAGCTGGGTGGTCTTAAGAACATTCTACTAACAAGCGATTTAAACTCAAGACTTTCGGGGGTAGCATTCTTTTGCTCTACCAATTTACCAAGCATTACTAATAACCAGTGGCGTAGCGACCCTTCCCCGGGGACAAATTTTCAATTTGCATCCCCCCCCTCAAACTTTCGATTTGCCACCCCCCCCCCCTCAAGTTTTTCTATATATATTTTGCGATTTTTTTGCCTTGGTGTCACCCCCCCCCCCAAAATGGTGTCACCCTGTGCGGTCCGCACCACCCGCCCCCCCCCCCCCCCCTCGCTACGCCTCTGCTAATAATTGATACCAAGCATTGCTAATAACTAATAACTGAGAGACAATAGGTTCAATTTCCTCAAACAGTTTTACAAGTTACCTTCTAAATCTAATGTAGGACAAACCACTAGATCAGACTGAACCTTTGCTTTAGGGCTTGAGAAACGACCGTCAGGCTCAGGCCCAGTGTGCCGGATACGACGTTTTAAGCTCCCCATACGTCTAGGTTTGTAGCTAAAAATAAATACCCGTTCAGCTTACTGAAGTATTATTCTATTCAAATCTTGACAAAAATATGTCAAAACCATGAACACACGTGCTGTTAAAGTTGTAATGGCGGAAGGAGCCGTCTCAAATGATGCGTACTACGTCACGTTCTTAAACCAGAAACAATTGTGGTTTGAGATTTTTACTTCCTTTTATATTTGTAATGACGTCATCAAATTACGCTGTGACTTAGCTCAATATGCTTTCTATTATATATATATATATATATATATATTATATATATTATATATATATAGATATATATATATATATATATATATATATATATATATATATATATATATATGTATATAACTGCTTAAATTAAATTAACATGTATTTTTAAACAAATGATTAAATCCAATGGACGCGAGCGAGTTGACGAGAATCCTTCCCATAATGTTCTTGACATGGAATAAAAAGGTGCTTTTTAGATTTAAAAGGAGCTTTTTTAGATTTAGAACGTAAAAATAATTAAAAAATAAAAACTTAAGCCTAAAATTAATTTAGAAGTTTTATATTTTTAGAATAATTCTATAAAAGTTGCAAATCCAGAGAACGTGAAAATAATTTGTTGAGTTTAAAGTCTACATTTCTATTTATTTTCATCAAGCCTTAGTTATGACCGGATGTTTCAATTTCGTAAGACAGATGTTGATTGGCTGTAAATGAACTCCGTGATCGATAATTATTTGTTTAAAAAACTTTGCAGATCAAGTTTTAAAAACAATGCAAATTTTAAACCCCATGACTTAGTTTTTTCTTTTTTTTTTTAGCTTACATATATATAATTCTCTTCTTGGAGACGCTAGAAAACATGCTGTAAGCGCGCTCCCTACCACCCCACCCCTACATGGTCTGGTGAGCTGTGGTTCACGCTAAATGTATACAATTTAGCCGGGTTTAGGTTACGGCTTTTAGGGGCAGATAATTTAGTTTCAAACAATTTTAAACTTGGGGGAGGTAACTAATAGGAGGCTGCTTTAACTGTGTGGGGGGGGGGGGGTGTGGTAGGGTAGGGGTTAGGGGAAAAGGAGGGGGGGCGGGGTTATCGTCCTTAACGACCTACTGTTTAGTGCTTTAAAGCAAATATTTTTCAGTGGCAGCATTGGTACTGTCGAATTCACACAAATTATGAATTACTGAAAAGTAGAAAATAAAACAACTAAATAGCGGCGTATTGATACGCCGCGGGTCAGCTCGTGCGTACAATAAAATTATGGCAGCCTATTGTCCTGTGTATTGAATAGCAGGATGCTATTGTTTATGTCGCCATTACACCGTGAAAACCAAATTGTTTTGTTTTTTTTTTTAATTTTTATTTAGTTACCGAAAATATTAAAAACATCAAATACATCCCAATCTTTAGTAAAGTCCGAATAAAACAGGACAGGCAGGATTTTATAACCCATATTAATTGTAACTACGCCGTGCATGATTTTTTTAATTAATTAATGGGCCTCTCAAATACCTTTGAGACTTTTTCTCACTCGCGTCCATTGAATTTAAAAGTGTTTTTTAATTGTGGACAATAGTGGTGTAGCCAGGATCGTCTCCAGGCGGGGGGGGGGGGGGGGTGGTTCCAATTTTTACACCCGGGGACAAACTTTCGATTTGCACCCCCCTCATACTTTTTATATAAATAACGAGGGTTCTATGCACCCCCCCCCCGCCTACGCCACTGGTGGACAAACTTAAACTAGTTTAGAAGCAATGTTTTATACAAAGTAGTTTTTCAAAGTTTGGAACAAAACATTATTTTGAAGTTTTGCAAGGGGCATAATCGGCTATTGTTTCTCGGCTAAAAATAATCCACCAAGTTGTTGCTCTTGTTTAAGTACAAATATTATTGAATTCTTATACCTTAACAAGACAAACCAGCTTCCCATTGCAAACGGTTTGTTCTGCCACTGCGGAATCATTAGCTGTATATAAATACTACTCAGTACACTTAGCTAAATAAATTAAAATACAAATTGATATTTCCACATGCAATTATACAAGTATAGCTGCCATTGGCGTAGTGAGGTCGGGTGTCACCCCCCAGAGGCGTAGCGACCCTTTCCTGGGACAAACTTTCAAGTTTTTCGATTTGCAACCCCCCCCCCCTCAAACTTTCGATTTTCACCCCCCCCCCCCTCAAACTTTCGATTTGCACCGTCCGCCCATCAAAGTTTTTCTCTATATATTTTGCGATTTTTTACCTTGGTGTCATCCCCCTAAATGGTGTCACCCGGTGCGGTCCGCACCCCCCGCCCCCCCCCCCCCCCCTCGCTACGCCCCTGATAGCTGCACTAAAAAATAGCACAAGGTATGTACAATAGACAATACTATACAAACAGCAATCTTACTTAAATAAAATCAACAAACAATTGTGTTTCCGTATGCAATGTTTAATAAAATTCATTTACTGCACTATTGAGCATATAGGCTTATAACAAATGTTGTTTGAAACGGAACATTTGATAACTCATTGGACCGAGTACTCATCACAAAGAGAGGTTCACATGGATCATCCAAAACACAGCTACATTCCAGGCTAGGAACAGCTCTCTACATCTTTGTATCATGGAAGGAGACCAAGTGTGATTCATGAAAGAGAGGCCCGTCTACTTCAAGTTTCTGAAGACTAGAGTCATTTTGGCTTGCTCCTATCATCTCTGAAATACACACGCATATAAATGTAAATATATAAATATAAATATATAAATATATAAAATATTTTATATTTATATATATATATATATATATATATATATATATATATATATCGGTCTGTAGATGGAAGCATACATCTTTATAAAACCCTTAACACCGTATTAAAGTAGACCTTAAAAGTAGCCTAAACAACCAAAGGATTAAACACAACTCATTTTTATGCCAGGGGCAAAGAATCCAATTTGGCTCTATTATTTCAATACTGACTTAAAACATAGCATTTAATAATGTTCTTGCTTTGAATAAATAGACAGTATTGTTGTGGGCGTTGAGAACCCATTCTCGATAAAGGGATGTAACAATAACGATTGTTGTAATCGAACTAATTAAAACTTAGCGCTTCTTCGATAGTGAAGGAAATTTAGTACTAGATCTAGTTGCATTGTAAGGCTTACATAGGGACAACATCAGTTCTGTAGACAAAACTCACCAGCTTTAGTATCATCTTCGTAGGTAGAACTCACCAGTTTCTAATGTAAACATCGTGAGTAGAACTCACCAGTTTCTAGTGTAAGCATCGTGAGTAAAACTCACCAGTATCTAATGTAAACATCGTAAACATCGTGATTAGATCTCACCAGTTTCTAATGTAAACATCGTGATTAGATGTCACCAGTTTCTAATGCATACATCGTGAGTAGAACACACCAGTATCTAATGTAAACATCGTGATTAGATCTCACCAGTTTCTAATGCATACATCGTGAGTAGAACACACCAGTATCTAATGTAAACATCGTGGTAAAGCTCATCAGTATTGATGTAAACATCATGATAGAACTAACTGGTCTTTAATGAGTAGAACTCACCAGTTTTAATGCAAACAACGTGGTAGAACTCACCAGTTTTAATGTAAACAACGTGGTAGAACTCACCAGTTTTGATGTAAACAACGTGGTAGAACTCACCAGTTTTAATATAAACAACGTGGTAGAACTCACCAGTTTTAATATAAACAACGTGGTAGAACTCACCAGTTTTAATATAAACAACGTGGTAGAACTCACCAGTTTTAATATAAACAACGTGGTAGAACTCACCAGTTTTAATGCAAACAACGTGGTAGAACTCACCAGTTTTAATGTAAACAACGTGGTAGAACTCACCAGTTTTAATATAAACAACGTGGTAGAACTCACCAGTTTTAATGCAAACAACGTGGTAGAACTCACCAGTTTTAATATAAACAACGTGGTAGAACTCACCAGTTTTAATATAAACAACGTGGTAGAACTCACCAGTTTTAATGCAAACAACGTGGTAGAACTCACCAGTTTTAATGTAAACAACGTGGTAGAACTCACCAGTTTTGATGCAAACAACGTGGTAGAACTCACCAGTTTTGATGCAAACAACGTGGTAAAACTCACCAGTTTTGGGATATCCAAGCAGCATGTCATCACCGTTTCCAGGTGCCTTGTCCATGGCATTGTTCAGAAGTTTATATAGGATACATGTCTTCAGTTTGCCATCCCGCTCAAGCTGCCTGAGTTTCTTCATGATGTCATCGCAAGAAACGCTCGTGTTGCTGCTTAGGGCGTGCTGTTCCATGACCGCCAGTTCCTTCTGTTCAAACAATAACAATAATCAGAGCATAAAATAATATGATGCACATTTTCTGGCTTCATGTAAAGTACACAACATAAAAGATATCTTCAATACAGACAAGTTACTCAAAATAAGAAAAATACATTTTATTTATCAACATTTGTTAATTTCATTTTTTCGTCAATTATACATACAAATAAATATATGTATGTATATATATATATATATATATATATATATATATATATATATATATATATATATATATATATATATATATATAGATAGATAGATATATAGATATATATAGATATATAATTATATATATATAATTATATATATATATATATATATATATATATATATATATATATATATATATATATATATATATATATATATAATTATATATCTATATATATCTATATATCTATATATATATATATATATATAATTATATATATATATATATATATATATATATATATATATATATATATATATATATATATATATATATATATATATATATATAATGATTTATATATATATAATTGACTCAAAGTTAAAATTACATGCTTCCTACAGCACTTGTAATAAGAAACAAAAAATGTAATATACATTTGAATGTGTTGTTCCTCAATTGTAAAAAAATATCCCTTCTCAATCATACTGTACCTCAGTCAATAAACTCACCTGCATAATGTCCAGATCACTCAACTGGTCATCCAAATCCGCAATTTTTATTTTCAAATCCTAAATCAAGAGAGGTAATACAAGTGGCAGTAACTTTCAAATATAGGTGCCAGTATTTAATGAAGTACTTTAAGATCAGGTACATGGTATTTTGTTTTTAAACTAAAAACAGTAAGTGTTAATTGGTACCCGTCTTGTATTCTAAAATATAAGTTTTAGTAGATTTGGTAAGTTAGTATCACTTTAAGTAGGTTTGTAAACCTTAGAGTTTTTATATTTTTTTAAAGGTTCCTATAAGGCTGAAAATATTTGAGTTCCCAGAAAACTGCGCAACGGAAAACTGCAAATAGTAAAATGCGCAAATACAAACTAATTATGCTAATACACTTTAATTTTGCCTTATTTTGTTAAAAGATGTTTAATTATGCTACAATGTAGAAGTAGTCACTGTTGTAATAGTCTACAAATGCTCGATTTAAGAAAATAAAAATGCGCTGGAGAACTTTTTTGTGTGCGCAGTTTTCCGTTGCACATCATTCCGATCACCTAATATTTGCTATCCCAACTCACAGCCAACTTTCCTTGTATGCAAATCAATACGATGACCGTGCAGGCGATGGTTATGCTGGGGGTAAAGATGATATTTATAGACAACATGCTGGGGTAAAGATGATATTTATTGACGACATGCTGGGGGGGTAAAGATGATATTTATAGACAACATGCTGGGAGGTAAAGATGATATTTATAGACGACATGCTGGGGTAAAGACGATATTTATAGACGACAAGCTGGAGGTAAATATGATATTTATAGACAACATGCTGGGGTAAAGATGATATTTATAGACGACATGCTGTGGGTAAAGATGATATTTATAGACAACATGCTGGGGTAAAGATGATATTTTTAGACGACATGCTGGGGGTAAAGATGATATTTATACACGAATAGCTGGGATAAGGATGATACTTATAAACGACATGCTGGGGTAAAGATGATATTTATAGACGACATGCTGGGGGTAAAGATGATATTTATAGACAACATGCTGGGGTAAAGACGATATTTATAGACGACATGCTGGAGGTAAATATGATATTTATAGACAACATGCTGGTGTAAAGATGATATTTATAGACGACATGCTGTGGGTAAAGATGATATTTATAGACAACATGCTGGGGTAAAGATGATATTTATAGACGACATGCTGGGGGTAAAGATGATATTTATAGACGACATGCTGGGGTAAAGATCATATTTATATATAACATTCTTACAAAAAAGATGGTAATACTTTTGGACAACATAGTGCCAAAAAATGAAATTTATAGACAGCATGGCAAAAAAGATGATATTTATAGACAACATACTGAAAATAGAGAAAGATGATTTAAATCGTTACATCAAATAGACAAAGGTGATATTTACAGACGTCGTTCAGCCAAATAGAGACAGATTATATTTGCAGACAGCTAGTATAGGATATTTATTGAGAATAAGTTGATCAATGAAAATGAAATTCATAGACGGTTTCCAGATGAATTTGATATTTTAAAACGGCTTCCAGAGAAAGATTAAATTTATATTAGGCTTCCAGAGAAAGATAATATTTATATTCGGCTTCCATGGAAAGATTATATCTACAGACTTCCAGAAGAAGATGATCTTTATAGATGGCAGACTGCCTAAGAATCTGCTTTGTATTTCGCTACATAAACACTTAATCCAAGTAGATAACGTGTCTATTGTTTCGTTAAACTAAGAAAAAAAAAAATTTTGTGTCACCCTTATATATATATATATATATATATATATATATATATATATATATATATATATATATATATATATATATATATATATATATATATATATATATATATATATATATATCCTACCCACCCCCACCCCTAATCACGCACACCGTGTGGAGATGATGACAAGAGCATGTAAACTCAAAGCTGAAGAACTCACCCAATCAGCGTGGGAAAGACGATGTTGTAGTAGCGCATGAGGAACATGAGGAACGTCTCGGACTGCTGGTCCAAGGTTCCAGACAAACCCGTTCTCCTGGGAGTCTCTAGAGCCAAAGGTTCTCCCTCATCGAAACAGTTGGCCTTACTCCAACTGCAGATTTCCAAAGCCCCTCCCGCATCCAAACCGTTGGCCTTACTCCAACTGTAGATTTCAGCTAGAGAAATAAATATAAGGTCAGCGCTATAGAACTTTTTTTTAAAATAAAGTTTCAAAATTGAAAATGAATCAACGAAAAATTAAAGTTTTTCTTTTGTACCTAATATTTCATAGTGCGGATAAAGTAGTGTATTTAAACAACGGCTTATGAATGGATAAGAAGCAATATGTACAGTCAGGTTTTAATTAACCTTCCATGACGTGAGCCAGGTACCTATTAAACCTGAGTGGGCTCAGGGACGATGCGAGTCCGAGATCCGAACTCGAGTCTTTCGGGTTAGTAGTCGCAGGCTCTGACGCCCGTCAACTCGCTGTTACAAGTAGATCTAGCAAGCCACTATGCTAGGGAGAATGTTGTCAAATAGATTAGAGAATCTAATGAATTGTAACTCGCACAATCATGGTTGGATAGTTTATAGTAAAGCTATAGCATGATAGCATGATTTGTAAGTTAAGTACCGTTGTGATTTAGAATTCACAAGTAGATCTGGCCAGAGGCGTAGCGAGGGGGGGGGGGGGTGTGCTGACCGCACCGGGTGACATTACTTAGGGGGGTGACACCAAGGCAAAAAATAGCAAAATATATAGAGATAAACTTGAGGAGGGGTACAAATCGAAAGTTTGAGGGGGGGGGGGGTGTAAATAAAAAATTTGAAAGTTTGTCCCCGGGAAGGGTCGCTACGCCTCTGGAGGGGGGGTGACACCATTAAGTGCCGCACTGGGTGACACCCGACCTCGCTGCGCCACTGGATCTGGCAAACCCTTATGCTTGGGAGAATGTTGTCAAGTAGATTAGTAAATCTAGTGAATTCAAATTCTCGCACAATCATGGGTTGAATAGTTTACAGAATCTATAGCATGGTAGCATGACTTGTAAGGTATGTACCGTTGTGATTTAGAATTTACTTGTTTCAGTGACCTCGGCATAAGGAGGGATTTTGTGGTCAGAACGATGCCCAGTCGCATTTACTTACTTACCCTAACGTCAATTAAATTAGGTACCCATCAGAGCTGGGTGGACTCAGGGAAGTTCTATGGACAAACCAGACTTTAAGGCTAGCAATCTAACTCACCCATGTACAATAGTGCCGAAGTTTCATAAACAGTGTTCACTATTGATATAAAGTGTTAAATTAGTGTTACCTCCTGATGTCTTAAGAATCACTTGATCAGATTGAGACTTTATCATTGGACTTGGCATAGAGGCGGGGCTACAACCATTGCCTGGCTTGACTTGAACACTTTTGTCATGACCATTAGGCTCTGGTCTAGAGTACCCGAGGCGACGTTTCAAAAAGTACATCATACTTATAGTGTGTTTGTAAACTAAAATAGCACAACTTAATTTAGTTTAGTCTTGACAGAAACATCAACACAATCTACACACGCTGTTGGCAGACATAGTATAATGGCGGCGGGCCTCAATTGCATACGTTTTCAAAATATGTGTAGTGCGTCACGTTTAAAAAGAAGAAAGAAATTTGGTTCGAGATTTTTATTTCCGTATATATTTGCAATGACGTCATACAATTAGATGTGGCTGAATATGCTATTGGTATCATCGCTTGAATAAATAACATCTTTTGTTAGATTTGTGAGATTTTTGTATTGTGGGTGAAATTTCAAATAGTTTTGAAGATGTTTTAATACAAAGTGTTGATTTTTAAGCAATTAAAATTAAATTAGTGTGATCCATGTGCAGTTCTATCCATATTTAGTTGTTCTTTTTTTGCGCATATGCATTGTAATCTTTTGTTGGTTATTAAAATCTGTGTTTTTATTTAGCCTTAATTCTGTTTACTGTTTGACCCAACTTACTAAGCCATCTGTTAATGAAAAAAAAAGCAGGGTTTTAAAAGGCGAATGTTTTATTTAACGTGGTGACTTCTTGGAAAAAGATTTCTCGGCGGAAGATACGAAACTCAATTGTTCTGCGAATACACAGTGACCTTAACAGCTGCGCTGCGGCTATGGCTATGGCTATGGCTATGGCTATGGCTATGGCTATGGCTATGGCTGTGGCTGTGGCTGTGGCTGTGGCTGTGGCTTTGGCAATGGCTATGGCTATGGCTATGGCTATGGCTATGGCTATGGCTATGGCTATGGCTATGGCTATGGCTATGGCTATGGCTGTGGCTGTGGCTGTGGCTGTGGCTGTGGCTGTGGCTGTGGCTGTGGCTGTGGCTGTGGCTGTGGCTGTGGCTGTGGCTGTGGCTGTGGCTGTGGCTGTGGCTAGGGCTAGGGCTAGGGTTAGGGTTAGGGTTAGGGTTAGGGTTAGGGTTAGGGTTAGGGTTAGGGTTAGGGTTAGGGTTAGGGTTAGGGTTAGGGTTAGGGTTAGGGTTAGGGTTAGGGTTAGGGTTAGGGTTAGGGTTAGGGTTAGGGTTAGGGTTAGGGTTAGGGTTAGGGTTAGGGTTAGGGTTAGGGTTAGGGTTTGGGTTAGGGTTAGGGTTAAGGTCATGGTTAGTTTTCTGCGGTTTAGGCATAATAAAAAGATGATAAATTAAATCGCTAAAAGAATAGACTTTATAAAATCGTTTCGTAATTTATAAAGTGTATCTCTGATTTTCTTGAGAAAAACTTGTCCCGTCCAACTTTTTCATCTTCTCGTCCACAGCCTCGCTTTGCGCCACAGTTAGCCAGTTTTTCCAGTCGCCCACTTGCCCTGCAAAAATAAATGTTACTCCAGTTATGTGTGAACCTTTAAGGGCTGTAAAAGTTTTCAAGATATTAGTCATGAGACGGGTCAGTTGAGAAGAGCTTAAAGCTTCGGGTCAGTTGAGCAGAGCTTAAAGCTGCGGGTCAGTTGCGGAGCTTA